CGCTATCCACCACACCATCCATCGCCTGCGCCATCCAGCAGTGGAGAACCCATATGAAACTTCCCCGCACTTTTCAACATGTTTCAATATGTGGCTCCCTTTTTTGGCTACCGTTCACGTTATTTTCAATGTCGCCTCCACGGGCCATTTCTACTGGGCGTACAGTCGACGCCATAAATGAAACAAACGAAGCTGAGTGGGTTCAAACGGCAGTTTCTGCCAAAATTATTTTCACTCTTTTTTTTACATTCAGAAGGCCATTTAGCGAAAATGGACCATAGTGCTGTACTCAGTGCTCATGCCCCTACACCATGCAAAAAAGACCTTCCTTGTAAGCGTCACGCTCATCACTGTTTCAAATTACCGCTGTCAGCTCTGTTGCTTCCGTGTTTTAAGTGCTCGTCTGCGTTGAACACTCACCTGAGACCACATTCATGACTTCGGAGAATCGCGTGGCATATTCGGGAAGCAAATTTGAAATCAGCGCTCAGAAATACGAATAGCAGGACAGGTCTCATTTCAAATGACCCCTTCGACTAGGGACCCTTCCCTTGTAAGTGCTATTTCAACAAGTGCTTTGTCAAGGTCGGAGGTCTTCGAACCCGATAACACAAAACCGTTCTTGAATCACCCAGGAGGCATTCCTGCTGAAAACATATCGAAGGTTTTAGCGTTGTACAACAAACCCTTTCTCAAATTTTTTTACGAAGTGTGCCTACATAAGAATTTGCCAAAGCTCCCGCGTGCTACTTCCATCTTTGAATGTCGATTTTTTGTTACGTTACCTTATCATCTTATACAGGGTGCGTGTGTGGTAACAAAATAACTGTTGTATAGAAACCGCAATATGTATTGATATTATATTACAATTTATGTAAACTATTATAGCATCAGGCGGAGGTGGTGTAGTGGCAAGTGGCGCACTATATCACACGCACGGTCAGGGGTTCGAATCTCGGATCGATGCCCGCCTAGGTCAACCAAGCCTCCCATCCCTCCGGAGTCGGTGAATTGGTACTAGTCTTGTCTGGGAGGATAAAAGCACTGACCTGTACATCGGCTGGCCACCGCAAGTCATTGTAAAGGCCACATACGCACTCACACTGCGATTCTGAATGGAAGTCGAGTGCGGGGGCGCATCCCTCAGGCGGGATTGATTAACGCCAAAAACTTTATCCTTTACCCTTTATTATAGCATCAACAAAATGAACGCACGATCATCTGATATAACCGTCTCCCGTACTAATTATAGCTCGAAAACGCTTCGGCTGCTCTTCTACGTTGGTACGTAGAGTTTCTTCAGAAACTCCAGCCCAGGCTTTCCTGAGTGATTTCTTAGGAGCAGCAAGTTCCCTCTCCAGTATGGACTATATTCAGTGACCCATCACATTGTAGTGTGGGATATTCGTAGGAGGATTGAAGGCTGGGATAAATTCGCGAACATTTCTACAGCACCAGTCTTGATCTTTTCCCATCCGTTAGCAAGTACGCGAGCGTTCCCAGATCGTATCTTAGAGACAATCTTTGACACTATGCAGCGCCTTCTCAAAAATGTTCCCCATCAAGTGTTGAAATCAATTTTTATACTTAAAAAATGAGCGATATCGCTCTGATGGTACAGATTCTAGCCCTAACCATCATGGAGTAGGAAAATCGCCACGAGGAACGATCTGTCCCCTTTCAATTTTCTCTTAACTCGTAGTGAGAAATCTATGTCTAGTCTGAGACCTGAACATCTCTTTCACGCTGATCACCTTTTTGTCAGAGAGAAGTGTATCGAAGCGCGTGCCGCGTGGAAGTCTGACATGAAAGTTGCGCTTTCTCTCAACGTTCTTCTCATCAAGAAGCTTATCATTTTTGTGGAACATATCTGGAAACCACTGCATTTATTTGTGGAAAACTTTTTTGATCTAGATAGAACATACACTAATCTTGGCAGTTTTTTTCTCGTTGTTCTGCAGTTTTGCAGAGTGATTATTTCGAGGCAAACGCATTTCTGGAAGGAGTGGTAATCGAAACACCGTGTAAAGGCTGGCCTTTGACCTGTCCACGCGTCGCGATACGGGAGGCTGTCATGCGATAAATGTCGAAACAACAAGGCAGCCCGGAATTGAACTCACCAAATGCGCGCAAAGACGGAACGGCTACTGGATGATTGCGATGCTCCACCGTTTTTTTTTTCAGGCGAATTCTGTAGCACAAAAGCAGACATGAGAACTAAGGGATATCATGAACATAAAAAAGGCGCAGATTTGGAAAAACCCTCGAAAAAACACAGTAATTGAGGATCTCCAAGAAGTGGTACCATATTTATGGCGTACCCTGTACATGAAGAAGTGCTAACAAAAGAATCGCATGTAGTGAAAAATCTGTTGAATCCCAACACTTTTGGTCTTAACCAGGAAGTGTGATTACTTCTTCAGATCAATGCATCACACATTGCAATAAGCAATGATTTTAAACATAAACAGCCTCACAGTTGTATTTAAGAGGAAAACAGAACAGGTTAGCAGCTTTACAATACTATAAGCGGCTAATTACAGGGAATGGGCGATTGTAGGTCAGGAATCATTTGCTGCAGAATGTGAAAATTTCTGTAAACTGCTGAGAATCTGAAAGAGCATATTTCAGCCATCGTGGGTCCCACACCACTCTTGTTTATCTGCTGAGCCACGGCCTACTTCCCTCTCATTGTACCACTCGGTATACTGGGCGACTGAGACTTCAATCAAGACAAGCGAGAGTATAGACACTGCATTAGTATTTTCATCACATAGTCACTGTTATGGCAAAAATTAAAGGACTAACATGATACATCCATCTTCAGCGATGCTTGACTGGTACCGATTGCGTTCGATGCTTGACAGGTGTATTCACTTCGATGATCTTCCATTTTGAGAGATTCCAAGACCAGAGTCTGTAGTCAGAGCCATTACCTATCACTGAGCTATTATGTTTTGCGATGTTCTGAATAAACGGAGAAAGTTGTATATCTAAGCAAGTATCAGCTTTACGTCTGTGGTCTGTGGGAGAGGCAGGTTCCCGTTCTTGAACCACGAGATCCGTATATCATCAATCGGTTTCGCGTCAACAGCACAGGCGAGTAGAGCCATACCGCCCTCACGTAGACGATGCGTGGAAGCTAATGAGAGATTGATGCGTGGAGCATATTGCAAAACCAGTTTCTGCGAGTCGGCTTCGTTCTAAAATACAAAATTCGTTTTAACACTGACACTCGGCCGTGTTCGCCGCTTCACCGTATTGCAACCATTCGACTGTTTCATTTCGAATGAGCTGGCGTCATTCTGCACCATTTGCGTAGCGCACTATCAGTCAATAATACATAGAGTTAGTTAAGCCCCAGAAGCTTCCTTCGAAGAACCTGTAAGTCGGTTGGCATATTCTGAGCGTTCTCTGATCTTCATCATAAGCATTCGCAGCTAGCAAGATTTTCAGAAAATTTCACTCGAAGAAACGATAGAAGTATCTAGCAAAGACATGTTTAACAGCACAATAAGAATCTCTGTGAGCGATAAGGGAGGAGAGTTTGTCATTATGCCACAGTCCTTGGATCGTGCCATAACAGAAATTCACCTGCGGGATAAAACCACGTACCACCGTGCAACAACTGAGGAATTTTCATCACAATGCAAGCGTCTCAACCATGTCTGGGTGAAAGAAGGCAAATCTGCAGGTCTTGATGAGAAATTCCTTTGTAGCTCAGGCTGGATTCTCCAAATTGTCCTGTATTTTACAGCTTGGTGAAAACCCACAAACTTGTGCCTAACGAGTTACTGTCAACGTCCGCGGACACTTTTAAAATAAGACCTATTATAAGTTGCATAGGTGGACCAACCTATAGAATTTCGTGGTTTTTAAACTGTATTGTGAGTCAACTGTTGACCA